GGAGCTGCATCCCCAAAATACCAGCTTTCTTCAGCAAAGGGAGCACAGGAGGGCAGAGGGACAGGCAGGGAGCATGAAACGCAGGAAACAGCCTCCTTATATGGGCTCATCCGCAGGGGACAGAGCTCAGTCGACTGGAATGACCATGTCACAGAATGTGAAGCCTTCAGGGGCCCAAGTGAATGGAGTTTTCTGATCTTTAAATGATTCCCCCAGATTCTTAAGATGCCAAACCAGAGAAGAGGCTACAGTGCCAAAAAAGGAGCATTTTGAATTCAGTTGATCTGGACACACCCAGAGCCCAGGAAAAAGAGGAAAAACACACCACATATGGGCGTGCATGCCCACATAAACATCCCTATTCCCATTACACACACCCCTACCTCAAAAACACACTCCCTCCCACACGGATCCTTCCCATGCAAACAACCCTCCTCCCCTCACACCATCTCCCAGATAGCCAGCAGGCCATGTTCCCAACACACAGCCTCACAACTCCTCGCAAAGGTACATGGAGTCACACAAATGTCACCAAAGAACCTGGGCCATAAGGTTGAGGGAAAATGCTGCGTCTCCAGGGCATTCCAATGCACCTGCAATTTAATTCCCTCAACATCAAAACTAGCCTTCGGATCCAACATATATAAAGTTGGTCACTCCAAATCAGAGGGTGATGAGAATGACTGCCCCAGTCTTTGCACAGGGCACGACTCCACGGCATCTAGGGGTTTGATTCCAATGTCTTGCCAATGTTATAATGTCTTCCCATTGATCAAACACACCAGGCAACCCTGAATGTCTGTCAGACCCTGACAAACACCTCACATATACCTACAGGTCTTTTATTCCTCTTGCAATAAATCAGGTAATTCTTTTTGAACTGCCCACAGGAGCACTAGCAACAGGAAAGGCAACGTTACCTGTCAGCTGAGGATAAATAGCTTTTCTTTGTTAGTTGCCTGGAAAGTGCCATAATAAGGTCACATGCCACATGCACTTTTGTCAAGTAAATAAACTTACCTTCATATACTTTCACATTTCCAAAACCTCAGCATAATTTACAATTGAGAATGCAATGTCGTGCATTGCCATAATATGGTGACAGGTAGGGACATTGCAGCTGCAAGAGCTTGAGGCAGAAAGTGGGGAGAACATCAACCCCAGAGGGAGCAGAGCAGAAACAGAGGACATTGTTCTTCTGTAATGGAGCAGATGTGCTCCTGAGCACACCTTTTTGGTGAAAAAGACTGGGGACTTTAAAGGATCAGAACTTATTGGTACCTATGTGTTGTACTTGGGCAAGATATTTATGTATGTTCCCAAATGCAAAGCTAAGATATACACCCAAACGGTTTGCCATCCAAAACACTGAGATTCCACCAGCTCCTGACAACAGTGTTCTTTCTCAGCTCTTGCTGCTCAATCTCTTTCACAGCACTAACTAACCACTTGCTTGCTCCGGTTTGCTTTTCCACTTAAGTTTTGTCAGTTATTTATCTCCAGAAGATTTCCTCTACCTTAGTTTCTGCAGATTGTCCACTTTTTCAAGGAACATTGCCATGGTCTGGGCTCTTTATTTTATTTTTTCTCAGAAATTCAGTTTAACATTTTTGTGATGGCACTTTTCCAGTATTTCTCAGGCCGCCTTCTTTACCAACACTTTCATACTACCACCATAATCGGTATTTTATCTTTCCCTTTGAAAAATGACTGGCCTGAATTCCATCTCTCCTGCATTGAAATAGAACCTCTACCTTCTTCTTTATCTGTAGTTAGGCCTCTTCTTATCAGACAGATGTAGAATTCTAATTTGGCTTCCCCATTAAGGCAGAAATTTCCAGGTCACTTGTCAGATCATGTCTGCAGTTTTGAAGGTGCTAGTTGGATGTTGCTTCCCTCATGGAAGCAACTACCCTGTGTGTCTCTGGATCCTGAGGGTGCAGCAAAGTTTCTTTTAGGACCTACCATGGACACAGGCAGATTACGGACATGTTGGGTCCCTCAGATTCTCAGGCGGGTCTGGAAATATGGATTAATCTACCTTCATCAACATGACAACTCCTCTGAAACAGCGAGCACTCTGTGCAGGGAAGCAGGGACTCAAATGACATTGACAGCATGCAACAAAGGACAACACAATTTTTCTGTCATGTAATACATCTCCTAAAATGTGTGGGATCTATGTTCTGCCCAACATACAGACACTGTGAGATTTTATATAGTATGTAGGTGCCTTGTTTTTATCCAATATTGACCATGGAGCAGAAAGAAAGAAGTATTGCCAGTCCCGAGTCTCCTCTCCCCTGACTGAGGAAAAGCAAATCTCCACAAACAGGCCTGATGAGTTAGTTTCGACTGCTGCCAATTAAGGAGCTGTAAGTCAAATAGCCCCACTGCTTCCAAGCAGCCACGTAACACTTAAAATCTATACCGATCTCAGAGCATATATGATATCAAAAACGGCTCAATTCCCAGACCTATGCAAGCCTCAGCTTTTTGCAAAGAACAGCCCATCTCTGCTAGCCCTCTTTATCATGTGCACAGACAGCTCAAGCAGTGCATTTGATTTTAATGAATCTCCTCCAAGGACTTCTGCATGTCTTAAATGCCTAGTAGAAAATACTGGATTTCCATTTCATCCACAAACTGTCCTTCTTCATGGTCACTGACCTTCTTTTACTAGGGAAAGTGCTATTGAGACAGAAAAAGTTCTTGGGGGGCTTTAAATATTCTCTGTCATCTATCACAACAAGTAAAGGAGCAGTGCATATTGTTAAACAGCTATCAAGAATTTCTTCCCTAAAACAATGGTCAGCTACCTAGTCAGCTGACATGTGCACCTGCTAGGAAAGCTGTCACATTGCAGCATTTGGCACCTTAACCTGTCTCAAGAGTGACTGCTCTCTCCTACATGAAAACAGTGAAGCAGCACACAATGATCTCATTCTCTGAGCAAGGGGCTACCAGGTAGAATCCTCTCACAACCCACAGTTACAGGACAGTGCCCCTCCAGCCCTCCTAGGCATGAACATCTCTCAAACAGTTTGCTACCACCTTGTACTACATACTGTCAGACACGTTCCCACCCATCTCCACCACTCCTACAGTTCTTTTGCTGACTTAGGTGGGTCCAGGAGCACTCAAAACATGAAATAAATGTGTGGAAAAGGAAAAGCTTTTAATAAAATTATTTTTGATGGGATTTTCCCTAATCCACATCAAGGTAGCCAAGCAGGGAGGATACTACTAGAAAGGCTGGGAAACATGGCTGACTAGAAATGCTATTTCAGTAGATGTCATCAAAAGGCTAGTAGATAACCTCAGAAAGCTGAAAATAACTGCACCCCTGCTGGCCAGCCACTCGGGGTGCACAGGAGAGAGGCAGCACAAGGCCTTGGGGAGCTCCAGGCCATGCAGTGCTGGGGCTCACACTGGGGAAGTTGGCCTAATTAGGGAACAAAAGTTCAGCTGCATTTTTTAGATTCCTCCTGGAGAATCTGGCCAACTTCCAGCTGAGCGGTCCCCGGGAACAGGCTGGGAGTCCAGCATTTCTACAAGCAACCAG